CTTCGCGGCTGGCGCATGGCCGGGGGCACCCATCTGGCATCGAGGCCCGAGAAAGAAAGACCCGAGTAAAACCATTACCTCGGACAACCTTCCCAACCCCTGGGAAACAAAACGAAAAGCCGGTTCCTCTTTTTGTCTGGTGGAATCCTTCAACATACAAAGGGTCGTAAAGAAATTTAGCCGTGCACCGTGAGCTGTTCGGCTGACATTTCCCCTAAGCCCTTAAAAATGTATTTGACAGGTCCCTGCGCCCTGTCTGCAGAGCCCTCCCCTCCCGCCTAAGAGGCGTCTCCTTTAAACTTCAGTTTAGTTAGCTGACCGGAAAGATTGGGATCAAGAGGAAGATGATGCAAGCTTTTACGGAAGGGTTTTAAAAACAACTGGGCAGGAGCGAATTATTTTAGGAGTTGTTAGTTGGTGGATCATGAGCAATACGATGCGACCGGCTAGGTAGTCTTTTTGTTAGCCCATTTTTGTGCCACTTAGCAGAGTATGTGTGGGTCAGCTGTAGAATTAAGAGGGAGATATTTCATATTTGACCATGTGGTTGGAGGTTAACCTTGCATTCATTGAAAAAGAGCCGTTTGAACTCTGCCAAAGTTTTGGCTTATTGTAATACAACATTGATAATAATACCTTTTGCCTTTCCAGGGAGCAATAACTGATTATTTTCCATATCATTTTGTGCCTCATCATTTTCATGTATTTCTCATTTTCCTGTGTACTATTATACCAGGTGTTCAGAGAATTCAGACCCAGGTTGGTTTTGTGTGTCTTAATGAATGTAAAGAATTGTCTAAGAAACAGATAAAGCAATTTATTCATAAAAGTAACATTTAATTTTGATTATTAACTACTTCTCGTAGCATTTTATTTATTTAATATGCTGGGGATGGTACCCAGGGCCTCTCTGGCAGGGTGTGAGTGCCTCTGCCACTTAGCTTTTTCCCCCTATTTTTAAAGGAATTGAAAATTTCTATAATTTTTTTTTTTTTTTTGGAAATCTCTCAGTGCTTGCAGTGTGGTAGGTGATCACTCCTATGATATTGCTGGAGTGTGTGTAAACTTAATACACAACCTTAAATTATAAAACCACATTTATTGCCATGGATTGATTACTTAAACTAGTTCATTCCTGTAGAAACAACTCTAAAGTACTATTCTATTAACTGTTCAGCTATCGGAGAAGCACATCCAGATGGAACATGGATAATGGTGTAGAACAATGAATTAGAAATGTCATTTTTAACAAGCATTTGATAGAAAGTCCTGGAAAGGAAAAAATACACTTTTTTTCACTTAACATGGAATTATGGTTGAGTCTCTTAGTCCGTATTTATGACAACACTTATGATTACTGCAGCACCATATGTTTTCAGTGCTCATAAAAAATAGCACTTTTTTTTAAAAATTGAAAGACTGTTTGTATAAACTGTGATTTTTATGGAGCCTAGAAAAAGAATGATAGTTGTTTACATGGCTTCAATATCTCCCTACAGAGAGTATTTTCTAATTGTGAACCTTTTTAAAGCTGAATGTGTCAGACTCTTAACAAAAACTAATACTGGTTTCAGATACCGCACTTACTTTATTGTGTTTCTGAGATACTCAAAAGTGTGTGTGTGTGTGTGTGTGTGTGTGTGTGTGTGTGTGTGTGTTTTAACCAGTTGCATTTACAACTTGGCAGATAATTTCTCCAGGGTGAAGACTAATCCTATGCTTTCTAAATACTTAGGGAGGATCAACTCTTCCTTAGAATAATGAATCCAGCCATTATTTTGAGATGAATACATTCATGTTGTGAAAATATAATTGTCCATGAATAAAGATTAAAATGAACAAAAGTAAAATGTGTATGGAAACCACAGTGAACTAAAGGAAAGTAGGTGACTGTTCTTTCTGTGTCATGGCTGAGCTGATGATTTGTTATTCCTTTTATGTTCCAGACCCTAGGTTTGCCTTATGACTTTGCTTGTGAAGTAACTTTACTCTGATGGTTTCCCCCTTCAAATTAATAGTTTTATACATGGTCTTCTGGTGTTCATTTGGGCATGTGGGTTCCACAGCCAGCCACATCTGGTTCTTCTGGAGTTGCATGAAAGCAGGAATATGGATTTGATTGACCCATACTTAGTGCAAGTTTTCCTTCTGGTTATTTTACTAAGGAATTATGATGGAGGATTTTTTGGTTAGATAGAGAGGTCTTGGGTAATATTTATTTATTAAAAATTGCTATTTAGTTAATATAGCCTGGAGCTAGAAGGCTCTGTGGGCCAGGCCAAAGCAGCTCTAAAACTATGGTAGCAGCACCACTTTTAATAATTTGGTTCAGTGTGCTGGCTTCAAAATTGGGATTATGTTTCACTTTGGGCCAGCGAGAAATAGGGCTTCTCTTTGAGAAGGGATGTGGCCCACAGGCCAAATTAGTCTCATTGATTTATTATTTAATTTTATTTTTTTAGTTGTTTGACACAATACCTTTTATTTATTTATTTATTTTTATGTGGTACTGAGGATCAAACCCAGTGCCTCACACATGCTAGGGGAGCACTGTACTGCTGAGCCATAACTCCAGCCCCATCTCATTGATTTTTACATAATTGTGAAGTAAGAATAGTTTTACCTTTTAA